GAATTAACGCTCTATATAAACACACCACAAAATGTGGCTTTATGTGGTGTGTTTCAGAATCATGGCAGCTGTAGTGACGTAATGACGGCAGTAACACTCGGGTAATGGAATTTTCATTCATATGTAATGAAGGCATCACTTATTTAGTGGAATTTTCATTACATTTCATATGTAATGAAGGCATCATCACTTAATTACTGGATTTTTCAATACATTTTATGAACTACACTGCTGAGTGCATAAGGTGAATTTGTAAAACGGAATTTCTGATAGAAATCAAGCAACTCTTAAAAGTGTGCACGTACAGCAAACACGTATAAAGCCAGAGATTACTGTGTTTGTACTGTCCTTCACGACACATAGAAATTTATGAGTATTCTACAAGACTGAAAATAATTTTTAAACTTGAGACACAACTTAATGGACATTTAATAATTACAAGAGGTTGTCAACTCACAAATGACTTACATTCCTATTTTTTTACTTAGAGTTATTGATATATAAATATAAAAACAGTAGAAAGGATAGTTAAGTTTCATATATTTTTGTACTATGACTTAGAGGTTATAAAACCTTAATTAATTCCTAAGTTTGCAAGTGCAGACATATGTAACCTGGGACAACTAAGTTGAGAACCTCCCGTATAAACAAAAACAAAGATACAGTTATAAGTCAGAGACTTGACAATTTTTCAGTTATGGATACATGACTGCCTAGTCAATCAATTTTACCTATTCATGCACAAAAAACCCGCATATCAGAGAAAACTGTATAATGTTTTAGTTTGACTTGGACCATTTACAAGTCACAGTGTGATTTGTAAATGGTCCTAGTGGGACCAAAATGCCATAATAAGCTTCTCTCTTCTAAATGCAGGTTATCTGTGTATTGTTCCAGTCACGGTATTGTGCGTTTTTGTTCTATGCTATTCATGAATCCATAACTAAGGTTACAGTAACAAATGCTAACATACACGAAAAACTATGCAACAAGAGAAAATAATCACAAGCCAGTGTCTAGGACTAACCCTTAAACTGTCCAAACATAGATCTACGTTTGCTCGCGTAGTGCTCCGAACGTAGATCTATGTTTTTTTACATTGTTTCTTGTGGAGAAAATCAAGGTCGGAGCGCTACGTGTGCAAACGTAGATCTACGTTTGAACAGTTTAAGGGTTAATGCTATAATGGAACTGATCAGTTAAATCCTTATACTGGAGGAACATCTGAACTGTTGTATTTGTGTGCCTCTGGGAAGACAGTGATAGTGTGAATGATGGTGAAAGTGTTTCTTTTTTGGGTCACCCTACCTCAGTGAGAGACGGCCAGTGTGTTAAAAAATAAAAATCACCAGAGGAAAGATAACCCACAGTGTCTGGGAAATGGAAGGATAGTGTCATTTCCTTGGATCACAAGCGCTTCACCAGCATCAAGGTACTCAGATTCCATTGAAAATATAATTAGTCCTTGCTTTTTAAGCAGACATTTTGCATGCACAGGCAAAACTTGCTTATATCATGTGGAATTAAATTGTTAGGTTGAGATTTCAAGATTAATTGTAACAATTCACTAATTATACAACATTGCAAAAGATAGTACTGTTTAGAAAAAACTGCCCATATTATCTTAAACCACATTATTAAAAATAAACATTAAAAGCCAACATGTATGACAATTAAAATGATGTAAAATACTCAAACGTGGCTTCCTCCAATTAAAATTATTGCCTGTTTATTATATTCATGGGGAAGCACTAGGTGCAGAGGGGGTCAAAAAAGAGACTGGGAAATTAGAGGTAATGAGGCTTGGTCAAAGGAAGGGTAGCTCTAATTCCTCAGATCAAGACCTGCTTACTAGCATCCAGACACCACCCTCCCTTCCCTGACTCGAACAGTCCAACCAAAAGTCACTGAAGGTTCAAGTTTATATAGTCTGTTACAAGTACAAATGAATACATATCAATACAGGTAATGAGGCTGTGCTTAATATCATCATTAATACAATTTAATCTTTTGTCATTTTTTTAAATACACTGGCTGTCTCCCACCGAGGCAGAGTGACTCAAAACAGAGAAAAGCTTAGAAGGTTTTCCTTCTTTTTACATTTAAATTTATACAGCAAGGGTTACAAGCCCCTTGCTTTTTTTTCACATTTAGTAACTTATTCAAAGGAGGGGGTTACTAGCCCCTTGCTCCCTGCATTTTAGTCACTTCTTACGACATGCAGTGCTTATAGAGAAAGGATTTTTCTCCACTTCCCCACAGAGGTTTCATCAGTTTTATATAATAAAAATCATGAATACTATGCACAGAAAATGTCAGTTCCATGTTAGCATTTAACCCAAAATATTCATTACTACAACTCCACACAAAAAATACACAGTAATATATTATTACCTCTGTAGCCTTATAGAATTTACCAAGGAAAATCGATGCCTTAGTGAGAATATCTGACGTCACAAGATCTTTATCTTCGTTTCTTATCTGTGTTCCGTTGAACAAAATAAGTCCTTTCTGTACACTTGGGATACAACGTCCTGCCACTAGAACGAAGACAATTTGTATTCAAATATTGCACTGTAATCTCTAATTACTAAAATACAGTTGTATACAGTATTAATTAATACTGTAATGTTAGTCTACACACTGACCTCATTCCAGTTAATATAGAACCTCTGCTTCCTGATTAATTTTTTATTCATGGGGAATTGCTAAACCTGTAGGGGTCAGAACACTGATTAAAATCATAACCATAATTTTTAAGAGTAGAGGGGTAAGCCAATGGAAGGCCTCAGTCAGATGACCAAAAGCTCCAGCTTCAGGTCATCATATGACTAACACCGGTGTCAGGAAACACTTGTGTTTCCTGATGAACCTTATCTAACCTAACCTGTAGGGGGTCATACAGTGCCTTAGCAATCAGGTTTGTTCCAGGGAAAAAGTGGCTCTAAATCTTTGGATTAAGAGCCCTTCATTCACATCTTCCTTTTCAAACACCTGCCTGTAAAAGAAAGCTAGACACACTTGGTGTCAAAGTTTATTAAGGTCCTCAGCTCAAGAGGTGTCAAAGTTTATTAAGTTCTTCAGCCCAAGAGGTGTCAAAGTTTATTAAGTTCTTCAGCCCAAGAGGTGTCAAAGTTTATTAAGTTTTTCAGCCCAAGAGGTGTCAAAGTTTATTAAGTTCTTCAGCCCAAGAGGTGTCAAAGTTTATTAAGTTCTTCAGCCCAAGAGGTGTCAAAGTTTATTAAGGTCCTCAGCCCAAGAGAGGTCCAGCCTTAAATCTTGAGATTGATACTTATTTAAAAAAATTTAATTAACCAAATCTTTAGCAAATTAAATTTTTAGATTTCATTTACTGCTTAAATAAAACTTAAACGGCCTCTCCTCACTTAACGACGTACTCATTTACCGACGACTCGGACTTACGGTGGGCTCACTGACCAGTATGCATACCTAAATAATGTATATCATAAGTGATTTCCTCCATACTAAAAAATTACCATTAAAATGAGTCAGACTGAATGTGGGCAGATGCAACAGTGTGCAAGCATAGGCAGTATAGTGAGATAATGTATTTTTTTTAATGAATAATAATACTATATTTGTCACTGAAGAAAATTAAAAAAAGGGCTTTATTGAGTGAGGAGTCACAATAGAAGTAGTGGAGATGTAATTAGTCCATCACGTTGACCACCTCAAAACTACGTCTTCGAGGGTGATGGACTGATTACATCTTTACTGCTTCAGCTGCCTCCTCTGTATCTGACTGAAGAAGCCATAATAATTTTACCGAAATTCCCCATTTATGACGGCTTCTTTAGAAAACTGAATATCAACTTAAATTTAACACTGAGATTAACAACAAAACATATTAATGTAACATCATTAACTAGCTGACAGGTCCATGGCACTACTTAAATGTTATGATAAACATAGCTAAATATCAAACAAATTTTACTACTATGTAATCCACAATTACAAAAAATCTTTTAATTTTCTCAGTAGAAAGAATTAATCTGGGAAGAAAAGATAACCTTTATACAAAGTAAATCACTTGTAATCAGAAAATATTGCAGGTGACCAGGCTAAAGGATGTGTTCATCTGTCAGAGGACTGGTGACACAAAGCTCTTGGTGATGTCGTTGTTCATGAAGGTACTATTTGTTCTAGAACTTGTAGTGGGCACTCAGTGAACAAAGCAGCTTTCTGCTATCATTAAGAGAGTACGTACTCACAGTGGGCACTCAGTGAACAAAGCAGCTTTCTGTTATTTCATTAAGAAGGTATGTACTCACAGCAGGTATGTACTCACAGCATAGTGAATGCTGTTATGGATATAGAATCATAAGAGAGTACAGAGCCCCGTACTGCAGTAGCCTCAACCCTAGTTCTCAGCACTTCCCATAGTTCACTGTAGCTAACCCATTTCTTCAAATGGGTCATTTATGCATAGTTGAAAACCTATTTCATTAATATCTGTTCATGTCATATTATGTATAGTATTTCAATATGTATTCTTACCTTTGATGGCGTATACCATATACAGTGGACCCCCGGTTAACGAACATTTTTCATTCCAGTAGTATGTTCAGGTGCCAGTACTGACCGAATTTTTTCCCATAAGGAATATTGTGAAGTAGATTAGTCCATTTCAGACCCCCAAACATACACATACAAACGCACTTACATAAATACACTTACATAATTGGTCGCATTTGGAGGTGATCGTTAAGCGGGGGTCCACTGTATTAGTAATGTTGTGCTAGGTATCCTTTTCTGCTTTAAACAATAAATCAGATACTTTATACAGCAGATGAAAGTACAATAGGAGGCCTGGTCACGGACCGGGCCGCGGGGGCGCTGACCCCCGAAACTCTCTCCAGGTAAACTCCAGGTAAACAATAATGAAGGACACAGCATTTGCATAATTCGATAGTCTCAGAAGTGGGTTAGTATACTGAAGCTCAGTGCATTTAGCAAAGCAAAACTTCTGAAGTGAATACCTGCTGAAATTTAGCAAAACGCATCACATGTTTCATAGCCTTTAAAATAGCTTCAAGAATTTCAAATGAGTCATATATGCTGAGTGACGATGAAGCTTTAATAGCAGCGATGATATTTTCTGCGTGATCTGCAACATTGCGCGGGATGCAGCGACGACCAACTGTAAATAATTCTTGGAAATTAGCAACTCAGTTAAGAGTTCTTCATTTAAACTCTTTCATACAATAAAAAACAATAAAACAAAACTGCAAAGTACATTTTTTATTAAAATACATTCATGTAAAAAAATAAATAATTTTACATACAGTACAGTGGACCCCCGGTTAACGATATTTTTTCACTCCAGAAGTATGTTCAGGTGCCAGTACTGACAGAATTTTTTCCCATAAGAAATATTGTGAAGTAGATTAGTCCATTTCAGACCCCCAAACATACACGTACAAACGCACTTACATAAATACACTTACATAATTGGTCGCATTCAGAGGTAATCGTTATGCGGGGGTCCACTGTATTTTATTTTTATACTACTGTATTTTGCATGCTCTATCACAATAAAACACTGTATCTCCCACCGCAAAATACAATTAACTGAGTTTGTGAGAAGGATCCAAAGACATCAGTTTAAGTTATAAAAAATCCAGTAATGAACAATATTTGAAGAAATATAGATGATTCTTGTTATAATAATGAATGCTAAACACGTAGGGGTTTATAGAGTACTCAGGAAATAACAGTAATTAAGTTTGATCTAAGGAAGCAAAGGGTAGCTTTAATTCCTTGGATGGAGATATAGCTGAGTGTGACTTCTCTATTGTTGTGAATAATTAGACACTTTTGCAAGAACTGGGAACCTTTTATGTGGAAATGACTCACAAAATCACAATGACATGATTGCAAACAAACCATGCCATGAGTGGGGTTAGAACCCGTGATCAGAGAGTCTCAACACTAAAGCACTGGTCTGGAGCTTTGAGACTCTCTGATTGCGGGTTCTAACCCCACCTGTGGTATGGTTTTTTTTTATGTGGAAATGTTTTACCAAGTGTATTCCTCAGTCTGGTACAGAGATGAATAGTGGAATATGACAAGTTTCCACATCTAAGATTTTCACGTGTTGCAAAAGCATTTAAATTCTTCAACTTGTTTTTTTAAACCATTTGCTTTATAGACTTGTTCAGACACCAGATGGATTAAGCCATGAGGTCTACCTCATGTAGTCATGCAGTCACATATAAGGGCCCCAATGGAAATAAGTCACTCTGTCTGGCTATATTTGGGGAGGTTATCCTAGGTAATTTACACACACGTTACTATGTATGATAATTATACTTATGTGTACCTGTATCTAGATAAACTTAAGCACCTCAGAGGTCAGCTCAATGAGGAGGCATTAGATTTAGTTAAAAATATACTGGAATTGTATGACCCCGTCTATGGCTACAACCCTTCACTCTGAATGTAATAATAATGATGGTTAGGATACAGTAAAATTACAAAAACATATTGTTTAATTATTTTATGTTATCTAAATTCTCCTTTAGCAAGAGCAGCCTGTATATCTATACATTATTGTCTGAGGTCAATTTATATTATTGTTATTATTATTATATTCAGGGTAGAGCACTAAGAGTTTTACAGTACCTGGGGAATGGAAGGTAATGAGGTTCGACCTGAAGAAGAGGGCAGTTCCAATGTTTTGGATCAAGACCCCTTCACCTACACTCATATTAAGAATGAATAAACTATCACCTGTCAATTTATAAATTCACTACAGCAATAAGTGTATATTTTAAGAATTACAAAATACAGTAAAAAATAAAAGAACTTACTTGGTTCACTTTCTACATAGTAGTAGGCACATTTGCCACTACTAATGAACTGCTGTACAGTTACTGACTCATTCTTGGGGTTAACTCCATCTTGACAGATAAGGTATGGCCTCATATCAGCGTCCCCAGACACAGGATTATAAAACCAGTTCGTTGTGGGGCATTTTTCTACACACACCTATAACAAAAATTATTGTTAATAAATCAAAATACAGTGGACCCCCGGTTAACGATATTTTTTCATTCCAGAAGTGTGTTCAGGTGCCAGTACTGACCGAATTTGTTCCCATAAGGAATACTGTGAAGTACATTAGTCCATTTCAGACCCCCAAACATACACGTACAAACGCACTTACTTAAATACACTTACATAATTGGTCGCATTGGGAGGTGATCATTAAGCAGGGGTCCACTGTATTTCTTTACTGAGAGCAAGGGGCTAGTAACCCATTCTACTTTACATACAGTGGTACCCTGAGTTTCAAACAGCTCCCAACTCGAACAATTATGCAAGTGTATTATTGTCTGTGTTTTTAAGTGTATTTTCGGTGGTCTGAAATGGACTAATCTAATTTACGTTATTCTTTATGGGAACAAATTCGTTCGGTAACGCACTCGAACAGCCTTCTGGAACAAATTATGGCTGAAACTCAGGGTACCACTGTACGTATTACTAAATTTAAAAGGAGAAACTTCGTTTTACTTTTTTGGGCCACCCTGCCTTGGTGGGATATAGCTGGTTTCTTTAAAGAGAAAGATTTCTTTACTTGACATACTGTGTAGATATCTGCAACCGTTTTCAAATGCTCTACTATTGCAGTCCGGCCTGAAACTAGGCTTAATCGTCTTGTATGCTCATCCACTAGTTGAGGTTAAATACGTGAACTGATCGAGTCCGAAGTGCCCAAATCTGCCCAAAATGCATATGGCTTTCTTTTGTGCTTAACAATATTTACTTACATGTAACTACATATTTATACTGCACAAAGAAATAAAATTTGTCTGTTTATCTTTGTTTTGTTTGTCTAAGTTTAATTTTACAATAATTAAAACTGTCAAAATTCTTAATGACCAGTCATTCACTACCTGATCTATAAAACATTGCCACTTTTCATTAGTGAATATTCACAGAAATTAATATACCTAATAATGACATCCAAATTCCTGTCATTTACAATTCTAATACAATTTACTGCCACAAACACGATCAATGTCAAGCCCCCAGACAAATTCGAGTAAATAACACATCATGAACTATCATAACTGGTAATCATCTTGTTAGGTGGATTGTCTGGTGTAATATTTGATATCTTAATTAGGTATTTATTTTTAACAGACCGGTTGTCTCCCACCGAGGCAGCGTGACTTGAAAAAAGGAAAAACACTTTATAATAAGATGTGTATTGATATGTTGCAGTTTTATAACTGGCAAGACAATGATGGAGTGAATAATGATGAAAGTGTTTCTTCTTTTTTTTTGGGTCACCTTGCCATGGTGGGAAACAGCCAACGTGTTAATTAAAAAAATATGGCATAATTTAACAAGTGTCATGTGTGTGTGCTTGTCCCTACTGGTTAAGCAAGGGTAAGTGTGAACATGTCCATCCCACCTGTCTATGAGCACTGCACTTTGTGTTATCTTTTTTAACAAGCTGGCTGTCTCCCACCGAGGCAGGGTGACCCAAAAAAGAAACACTTTCACCATCATTCACACTACCACTGTCTTGCCAGAAACATGCAAATACGACAGTTCAGATGCTCCTCCAAACAGCAAATATTTCTAACCTCTCCTTCAGAATGCAGGCACTGTACTTCCCACCTCCAGAACTGAAGCCTGGCTAACTAGTTTCCCTGAATCCCTTCACAAAATGTTGATTATATAGCACTACATTTCAAGGGGGTGTATTTGTTAAGCATTAGTACAAGTGAGACCAAGGTAGTAGGGTGGTAGACAGCAACCACCCAGAGAGGTACTACCATCCTGCCAAGCGAGAGTGTAAAATGGAAGCCTGTAATTGTTTTACATGATGGTAGGACTGTTGGTGTCTTTTTTGTCTCATAAACATGCAAAGGTTTCAGGTATGTCTTGCTACTTCTACTTACACTTAGGTCACACTACAGATGCATGTACAAGCATATATATACACACCCCTCTGGGTTTTTTTCTACTTTTCTTACTAGTTCTTGTCCTTGTTTATTTCCTCCATGGGGAAGTGGAACAGAATTCTTCCTCCGTAAGCCAAGCCTGTCGTAAGAAGTGACTAAAATGCTGGGAACAAGAGGCTAGAAACCCCTTCTCCTGTATATAATACTGAAATTAAAAAGAGAAACTTTTGTTTTTCTTCTTGGGTCACCCTGCCTGTGGGATACAGGTGATTTGTTGAAAAAAAAAGTACAAGTGAGAAATGGTAGTAATTATTGGGGCAATAAATAACTTTCAGTTGAAAAGTCATATTGAATCTGCACTAAAGGTAGAACTCTCAGAGAGAAAAAATCATAAGAATGAGCATGTCAGAACACTGAAGGAGAAGCCAAAAGTGAGTCTGTGTGCTCTGACAGACAGGACAGTCAATTAACAGATGTTGGCGTGTATTAGGAAAATTTGGTGCATTTTTAAATGCTCTGAAACTAAGCAGGGTACAGTCTTATAAGCAGATGAAATACAGCTAAAAAATTCTTCTTGGCCAGGCAGTCAGAGATAGAGATTAGCTGCCATGTGAGATGGAAGAGCTAGCAGAATTAGGCAGACCTGCAATGTATTTACATGCGAGCGGCAGACAGTTAGCTAATCAACAGATACAACATGACCAATTGAATACAGTGGACCCCCGCATAACGATGGCATCACATAGCGATTATTTCGCATACCGCTTACTTTAATTGCAAAAATTTTGCCTCACATACCGCTTAAAAACCCGCTTACCGATTTTCTTCCGAGACGCGCTCACATGTTCCGCCGGTGGCATTGTTTACCAGCCAGCCTCCGCGGTAACATCCAAGCATACAATCGGAATATTTCGTATTATTACAGTGTTTTCGGTGCTGTTTCTGGAAAATAAGTGACCATGGGCCCCAAGAAAGCTTCTAGTGCCAACCCTGTGGTAAAAAGGGTGAGAATTAGTATGGAAATTAAGAAAGATTTTGAAGGGTTTGGGGCTAACCCTGAGAAGCCTATGCCAGTTGTGGAATCCATTGTGCCTACTTCAAAAATTAAGGAAATGTGTGCACAGTGGGTTGAACTGCAAACCTTTATGGATGAAAATCACCCTGACACAGCTGTTGCAAGCCGTGCTGGTGACTATTTCAATGACAATGTTGTGGCCCATTTTAGACAAATCGTAAAGGAACGGGAGGTACAGAGCTCTATGGACAGATTTGTTGTGCGACAGAGGTCCAGTGACTCTCAAGCTGGTCCTAGTGGCATTAAAAGAAGAAGGGAAGTAACCCCGGAAAAGGACTTGCTACCTCAAGTCCTAATGGAAGGGGATTCCCCTTCTAAACAGTAAGAAGATAATGCTCTCCCCTCCTCCCATCCCATCAATCATCACCAGATCTTCAATAAAAGTAAGTGTCATGTAAGTGTGCATGCCTTTTTCAGTTTGTGTGTATTAAAATTAACATTTCATGTGGTAAAAAAATTTTTTTTTTCATACTTTTGGGTGTCTTGCACGGATTAATTTTATTTCCATTATTTCTTATGGGGAAAATTCATTCACATAACGATTATTTCGCATAACAATTACCCCTCTTGCACGGATTAAAATCGTTAACCGGGGGTCCACTGTATTATATAAGTTGTTTCATTGAGGTGAACTACTGTATGTATATCAAATACAGAAACACATCAGTGCTTTAAGATACTGATTTTATTTTTACAGGAGTACATACAAAATGGTTTTTGGGACCTGATGAGCTGTTGGAGCATGAGCAAGGAAATATTTTGTGAAGGAATTCAGGGAAACTGGTTATCCAGACTTAAGTCCTAGAGGTGGGAAGTACAGTGGACCCTCGACTTACGATATTAATTCGTTCTAGAAGGCTGTTCGGATGCCGTTACTGAATGAATTTGCTCCCTTAAGGTATATTGTAAATTAGATTAGTCTGTATCAGACCCCCAAAAATACACTTACAAAAGCACTTACAAAAATACACTTACATAATTGTTCGAGTTGGGAGCTAATCGTAAGTCGGGGGTCCACTGTATAGTGCCTGCACTCTGAAGGAGGGGTTTGATATATTTGCTGTTTGGAGGGACATCTAAACTGTTGTATCTGCATGCTTCTGGTAAGATAGTGATAGAGTGAATGAAGGTGAAAGTGTTTCTTTTTCAGGTCACTCTGCCTCTGTGGGAGGCAGCTGGCACGTTAAAAATACATACATACAAAATTGCTCGTAAATAAAGGAATGGAAGAAGAGCCTACCTGTGGTGTGGGGCAGCCTGTTGCAATGACTTTGGGTGTGGCACATCTTGTCAGATCAAAAAACAGGAGGAATGACTTGTTCTGAAGTTCTCCTCTGCCACACACTCGACCCATGCTGTCAGTCGGGTACAAGAGTCGTGATGGATCTCCATGCAATGCAGCTGTCAATGAGAATAATAATTTAATTCATAAGTACAATGGCTAAGTCAATTTTATTGCCTTGTGATAAATGAAGGTATCCTTAAGCCTTCAATATGTTCTGTTCCCTACCCCAGCATAACTTAAGAAGGAAGAACAATAAAGAGGAAAAAGCAATTTTTTACAATTATTAAGCTCAAACATTAATAACCCAAGAAGGCCAGGTAATAATGTAACCCAATCCAACCTCATCTAATGTAATGCAACCCAACTAAACCTAACCTAATCCAACCTAATGTAACCCAACCAAAAGTAATCTAACCTAATGTAACCCAACCAAAAGTAATCTAACCTAATGTAACCCAACCAAAAGTAATCTAACCTAATGTAACCCAACCAAAAGTAATCTAACCTAATATAACTCTACCCAACCAAACCTAACCTAATGTAACCCTACCCAACCAAACCTAACCTAGAATAGAATTAAAATTGTCAGTTTTACCTGGAGTTTACCTAGAGTCACTTCCAGAGGTTACCAACCTGCAGCCCAGTCCCAGACCAGGCCTTCTAGTTGATGGCCTGATCAATCAAACTATTAGTGCCCGCCACCCACAGTCCAATATATGCACCACAACCTGGATGAATTTACATCAGTTTATGTACTTACCAAAGACTGTCACTACCCCCCATCCTGCCAGGAATGCCACAAACAGCAGCAAACACAGAATGTCAGTACATGACCTGTTCTTGATAGGTCCCTTGAAACTGGCATCATATTTGATAGACTCTCCTGTGAAAGAAAAAATAATAACAATAGTAATACTACTACTATTAATAATAATAATATTAACCCTTAAACGGTCCAAACAGATCAACGTTCAAATTCGTAGTGCTACAAAAGTAGATCTACTTTTTTTAACATATTTTCAAATGTAACAAAAAAAAATGTACATAAAAGTTTTTTACACGTTTTCAAATGTAAAACAAAAAAGATCTACATTTTCTTTACATATTTTCAGATGTTAAAAAAACGTATATATACGTTTGGACCATTTAAGGGTTAAGTAGGGACATGAGTATTATTATTATTTATATTTAAACTTCCAAGGGCCCCAATGGAAAAAAAATCACTGACTGTTTTAAGTTATCCTAGGTAATTTACACTGCTACTGTGTACCTGTGCCTAAATAAACCAATTTACAGCACTTGGGGAATGTGAGAAAGTCTGGTTTGATCCAAGGAAGGAGAGGGGAAGCTAAAGGGAACCTTAAATTACTTACATTAAGCGCACCTTCACCTTCATCAAAGCATCCCCTTTAAAGAGCCTGGCCTCCCAACACCACATTCTGACTGCTACAAGTTTTTGCAGTTTGTCTCCACATTATTTCACCTCCAGGAAGGTTCCTTGATCTGCATACCTCCACTTCAAGGAATCAAGGAATGTTAAGAAACACAGTCTCCACTTCAAGGAATGTTAAGAAACACAGTCTCCACTTCAAGGAATGTTAAGAAACACAGCCTCCACTTCAAGGAATGTTAAGAAACACAGCCTCCACTTCAAGGAATATTAAGAAACACAGTCTCCACTTAAAAGAATGTTAAGAAACACAGTCTCCACTTAAAAGAATGTTAAGAAACACAGTCTCCACTTCAAGGAATGTTAAGAAACACAGCCTCCACTTCAAGGAATGTTAAGAAACACAGCCTCCACTTCAAGGAATGTTAAGAAACACAGCCTCCACTTCAAGGAATGTTAAGAAACACAGCCTCCACTTCAAGGAATGTTAAGAAACAGTCTCCACTTCAAGGAATGTTACGAAACACAGTCTCCACTTCAAGGAATGTTAAGAAACACAGCCTCCACTTCAAGGAATGTTAAGAAACAGCCTCCACTTCAAGGAATGTTAAGAAACACAGCCTCCACTTCAAGGAATGTTAAGAAACACAGCCTCCACTTCAAGGAATGTTAAGAAACAGTCTCCACTTCAAGGAATGTTACGAAACACAGTCTCCACTTCAAGGAATGTTACGAAACACAGTCTCCACTTCAAGGAATGTTAAGAAACACAGCCTCCACTTCAAGGAATGTTAAGAAACACAGCCTCCACTTCAAGGAATGTTAAGAAACACAACATTCACTTGAAGGAATGTTAAGAAACACAACATTCACTTGAAGGAATGTTAAGAAACACAACATTCACTTGAAGGAATGTAAGAAACACAACATCCACTTGAAGGAATGTTAAGAAACACAACATTCACTTGAAGGAATGTTAAGAAACACAACATTCACTTGAAGGAATGTTAAGAAACACAACATCCACTTGAAGGAATGTTAAGAAACACAACATTCACTTGAAGGAATGTAAGAAACACAACATCCACTTGAAGGAATGTTAAGAAACACAACATTCACTTGAAGGAATGTTAAACACAGCCTCCACTTCAAGGAATGTTAAGAAACACAACATTCACTTGAAGGAATGTTAAGAAACACAACATACACTTGAAGGAATGTTAAGAAACACAACATACACTTGAAGGAATGTTAAACACAGCCTCCACTTGAAGGAATGTTAAGAAACACAACATACACTTGAAGGAATGTTAAGAAACACAACATACACTTGAAGGAATGTTAAGAAACACAACATACACTTGAAGGAATGTTAAGAAACACAACATACACTTGAAGGAATGTTAAGAAACACAACATCCACTTGAAGGAATGTTAAGAAACACAACATTCACTTGAAGGAATGTTAAGAAACACAACATACACTTGAAGGAATGTTAAGAAACACAACATCCACTTGAAGGAATGTTAAGAAACACAACATTCACTTGAAGGAATGTTAAGAAACACAACATACACTTGAAGGAATGTTAAGAAACACAACATCCACTTGAAGGAATGTTAAGAAACACAACATTCACTTGAAGGAATGTTAAGAAACACAACATCCACTTGAAGGAATGTTAAGAAACACAACATCCACTTGAAGGAATGTTAAGAAACACAACATTCACTTGAAGGAATGTTAAGAAACACAACATTCACTTGAAGGAATGTTAAGAAACACAACATTCACTTGAAGGAATGTTAAGAAACACAACATCCACTTGAAGGAATGTTAAGAAACACAACATTCACTTGAAGGAATGTAAGAAACACAACATTCACTTGAAGGAATGTTAAGAAACACAACATTCACTTGAAGGAATGTAAGAAACACAACATCCACTTGAAGGAATGTTAAGAAACACAACATTCACTTGAAGGAATGTAAGAAACACAACATCCACTTGAAGGAATGTTAAGAAACACAACATTCACTTGAAGGAATGTTAAGAAACACAACATTCACTTGAAGGAATGTTAAGAAACACAACATTCACTTGAAGGAATGTTAAGAAACACAACATTCACTTGAAGGAATGTTAAGAAACACAACATCCACTTGAAGGAATGTTAAGAAACACAACCTGCCCTTCAAGAGGCCAATGAATGAACAGACTTTGCACTCTTCCTCTCCGGAAAGAAACCAACACCAGGATACTTTTAAAGGCATCACCTCCTCAAGGGAGGAGAGGGGAGGAGATATGAGAGAGGGGAGGAGATATGAGAGAGGGGAGGAGATATGAGAGAGGGGAGGAGACGAGAGAGGGGAGGAGATATAAGAGAGGGGAGGAGATATGAGAGAGGGGAGGAGGAGAGAAGAAAGGAGAGGAGACAAGACAAGAGAGGAAAGGGAGCCCTGATGATGGTGAAGGGTTCTTTTGTCCATGGAACTGTGGTTACTCTCCTCTTTTCTCTGCATCAAATCCGATCACCTCCTGTGGGTTTAGCGCTTTCCCATGAAAATTATTTTAATAATGAAATACAATAAATAATAATAATAATAATAATAATAATAATAATAATAATAATAATAATAATAATAATAATAATAATAATAATAATGATAATAATAATATTCTGCATTAACTTGTTATCATGAAAGGAAGTGCATCACATCTTTCCCAGGGTAACTGCAGTAGAAGAAAAAGAATTTATGTATATGATTACCCACAGTGGAGTGAATAACTCAGTAAGAGATGTGGATGATTACCCACAGTGGAGTGAATAACTCAATAAGAGATGAAGATGATTACCCACAGTGGAGTGAGTAACTCATTAAGAGATGTGGATGATTATCCACAGTGGAGTGAATAACTCAATAAGAGATGAAGATGGTTACCCACAGTGGAGTGAGTAACTCAATAAGAGATGTGGATGATTACCCACAGTGGAGTGAATAACTCAATAAGAGATGAAGATGATTACCCACAGTGGAGTGAGTAACTCATTAAGAGATGTGGATGATTACCCACAGTGGAGTGAGTAACTCATTAAGAGATGTGGATGATTATCCACAGTGGAGTGAATAACTCAATAAGAGATGAAGATGGTTACCCACAGTGGAGTGAGTAACTCAATAAGAGATGTGGATGATTACCCACAGTGGAGTGAATAACCAAGGAATATTTATGTACATGATTACATAGAGGGTGAATAACTCAGGAAAACCCAAGTCAACCAAGCTTTGTGAGTTCTATGGTTCTCTTCACCAGGATGCGATCCACAATTGGTTAACACTTAATTATAAATATTTATTGGCAAGTGAATGGTAGTAGGTGTTACGAGATTTGCTCATATCTAGCAGAAAGCGGATTACGGGAATACCATTAAACTGTAGTGTCTTTTGGTTTTCATGGATTATCCAACCTCTGTATATGAGGTATAATCCTTCTTATGTGGGGGTGCCTCAAAGAGACCCAGACGAGACAAAGAAACTCGAATGGATATTGGGAGACGTCCGGAGCAGCCAGACAAAGGCAGCTGATTTCACTAATGTTGTCGCAGAATCTCTAATATCTAATTCTCAGAGGTCGAGGGATGGCTGACTAACAGAAAGTAATTTGCATAAATAGGAGGAGAATCAGAAAGGATAAGTCACAAGTTGCGTTCCACAAGGATGTCTTGGGCCTCGTATGATTTATAATCTACATTAATAATCTTGACGGAGTAGATTCGAGGAAGGCACAAAAATAGGTCATATACAAAATTCAGAGGAAGATAACACTGAACTACAGAAATATTTGGACAAACTATGTCGTCTGAAAAATGGCAAATGCAGTTTAATGTAGATACGTCCAAACTTCAGATCCTTGGGAATGAAAATAAACGTCACGTTTATAAATTAAATACTCTGCCAAGTAGTCACTGAAGCTTAAAAAAAAAAAAATAGGCTGGACAAATGAGACTTGTTGGGCTTGAGAAAGACCCCCCAATTATGGGTCAGCGACTGGGTCCGCATAAAAAAAAAGCTTGCATCTGTCTATTGATTTCGAAATTTAAGTGCTAAACCGATATTGTATGAATATAATTCCAAAGACACATCCATGGGCGTTGTACGGCATCACTGATGACCCTACCTGTCACGTACCTGTTCACTGTGTTCCTTCAGAACTGCAGCCACATGCAACCAGAAGATACCTACACGATTATTATAATCAAGGGGGAAGCGCTAAACCCGTAGTGTTATACAGTGACTGTGGGGGGGGGGGATGTGGAAGGTATTCAGAAAACTGGAGCATAGATCCAATTCCCTAGATCAAGAGCCCCTCACCAGCGTCAAGGATGGGTATATCTAGAGGAATATCCAGGAACAGATGTGTATGTGTATGTGATATATGTTGAAAATTATATAAAATAACAAGTTGATGAGTAAGACATGTGCAGCAGTC